TTCGCACGTTTGCGTGCCTGTGTAGGCAAGTGAGGCAATCGCATGCCACATCCCTTGATAGGGCAAACAAAGTCAGTCTGTTCAGAAGGAAGCTCTGCAGAGAAAGCCACCGCAAGCGGCTGCTCAGCTTTGAACAACTCACGTGGCACATCCGGATGCCTGCTACGAACATGGTGCCACTTGGTGCCAAGAGGCACGACCGTATGACAAACAGGACATGACCATTTACCAGAAGACGAAGCCGAAACACCCGAAGACAGCTCTCCCTCTTCGAGCTCAGCGACATTCCCTATGTCACTGTTGCAGTTGCTAGTACCGGTGGGGGCAGTCGGGGGGCGACAAGCACTGCCGAGGCACCTGAAACCCTTGCACTTCCCACTGATCCTGAGGCGCTTAGGAGGGCCATTATTGCCCAGAAGCGCATCGAGGTTCGCACGGTTCTTGTTTTCACCAGTAGAAGACTGAGCCGGCAGCCAAGACTCACCACTAGCAGTCCCTACAGCAGACTTGGGCGGCAACCAGCACTCACTATCGGAGGACTGAGGCGGAGGCATCCAAGCAACACTCTGTGAAGGTGCGACCGAGCCCGAAACTTGGGAGCTTGCCGAACCAGTCGGAAACCCACGCGGGCCTCCGCCACCACGCAGGTGATCACTGAGAGCCCCTTGCGGCACGCAGTCGACCCACGCACTAGGGAGCTCACGACGCGCCTTAGGGACAAGCACCGTGTAGTGATCGTCCCTCAGAGCAAGCACCAAGGGCTGCGTACTACGAGCGGCCTTTCCAACGGCTAAGGGTTCTTCCCATGAGCTACCGTCGTGACGCACGACAACGATACGCACTCCAAGACGGCGCGCGGCCGCACGAAGAGTAAACTGACAAATCCATCTGTTAGGGCGGAGGATATTATCATGCCACGTTTCAAAGTCGGTAGGGAGCGAGCCTCCCTCAGTATTCTCAGAGGCACGAGGATCTAAGACCCAGCCATCAGAAATTTCCTGCTTGTGCTCAGCAATCCACTGGTGCACTTGCTGACGCAGGGTCTTGCCCCGCGCCACGGCTTTAGAGAGGAGCACGGCCTCATCCTCTCCCTGCCTCAACCCGTAGGCGACAGCAACCGAGTTGAAACCACAAGCCCCATCTCCGCCCGCATCAATCTCACGCCAAGAGACATCAACAGGGGAGCGTGTGCGGGCCCTGTCGCGGGCAGCAGCACCAGAACGAGTCTGAGGACCGCTGTCGTCCTCATCCATCTGAGTGGGCTCAGCGGCCTTAGTCGCGTCCTTAGGTGCATCCGAAGGAACACTGCCACCCTCGGCATCAACCTGCATATCAGGATCAACCGTCCCGGCAGAAAGAGAACGCTTTTGAGCCTGAACTTTAGCGTCCGCAGGAGCCCCCGGCTCCCGAGTAGGAGCCGCACAAGACTGACCAGAAGCCTTGGGGTTAGCAGACCTGTCGGAGCCTTTAGCAAACCGAGGGTGCAGTGGAGTCTGCGAAGAAACCTTGACCTGACTACGGCCAACAACCCTATCAAGCAAGAGAGCGGCATCTGTACCAATCTCAATGCCAAGAAGATCGCAGGGAGCATCATGCGGGGCCCTAGCCCTGATGAACCACGGACGCCTAGGAAAGGTGGGCACCGAAGTGACAGAAAGCTCATGCCACCCAGCACTAGCAAGAGCCTCCAAAAGGTTTTCTTCAGTCCAGCTAGCAGGCACTTTACGGACCCGCCAAGCAGCAGTCACCCCAGGCGTACTAGGGCCCATGCCAGGCTTGCAGCGAAAGCCAAGTTGCACTGGGTCCCCAACCCTCCAGGCCATGGCTAGCCCAGAGGCCCTGGCCTCATCCTGAACTCGCTTCAAGTAAGCAGGCATGGTTTCAGCCTCCAAGCACTCAAGCCACTTAACAGGAACCTTCTTCTGCGCCGACGCCTTGTCAAAACAGAAAAAGACCCCACCCTGACCCGAGCAAGCGAGAAGTCGGTCAGCCTTAGCCTTGTCGACAACAGCAAGCCCTTGCAGAACGACTAACGATTGACCACGCTGCGACAGAGTAGTCTCTCGCCAAGAGAAGCTCTGGCGCAAAGCACCAGGGCATACCCTCTCACACCAGGACTTGAGCTGAGCACCTGGTTGGTCCTTAAAGGAACCCCACAAATCCTTGGGCACAAGGACCTTAGGGACCGTAACCGAGAGCCTCACGACCTCAGGAGCAGTTGGCGCCTTAGCCGCCTGAGTTAAGGCCGCAGGCACTGGCGGCAGACCCTGTGCTGCAACCAAAGGATGCATCCTGAACGGGACCAGCCACTTTTCTTTCCCATTAGTCACTGCAAAGGAAGCAGCCTGACCAGACTTGTCCTCGGGACTGCTCTTCACGAGTAGAGCAAAACGACCCTTAAGCTCATGCAGCGTGGCGAGTTGCATAAGCTGTTTGGCTTCCAAGTCGCTCCTACACCAAGTAACAACCCCGTCAGGGAACTCACCAGCCTCAAGAGACTTGCGTACTGCTGACACGTTGCGCACACCGTTCTGAGGCCACGATGAAGCAAGCAGAAAAGCATGCTCCACAGGCGTAGCACCGTCCTTGTCCGAGCCAGGACTCGCAGTCTTAAGCCCTTTCTGGACCTTCTGAGCCCAAGACGCCGGAAGCTCACGAGTCTCAGTCTGAGGCCGGGCTCGCCAAGAGGTTGCTTCGGCACCTCCTTCAGTCCACCAAGAAACACCCTGACTACCGTACCCCCACCAAGGCTCCCACCAGCCCGTTTCAGGATCGACATACCAGTCGTGATACCCTGTACCCCACCAGTCATCAGCCCCAGCCCACCCAGTCTCAGCAGCAACGACAGTCCGACGTGCACTGGAAGTAGGAAACTGAGGCGCCGACTCAGAACTAGGCACGACACCTGTCTTGCCCTTACGAGGCTTAACACGAGGCCGGCGCGACAGCGGAACCTGAAACTGAGTTCGCAGCTCCTGCACGACGGCGTTCACTAAAGCTTTGAGGACCCCCGCCGGAACGCCGGCAAGCAGGCCCGAGCCAGCACCACCTCCGTGGCTCTTCTGCTGGCGAAGGCGGGCTGTGCGGCGACTACCCCCTGGCCCGGGGTTTGAAGCCTCACCAACCCTGCACCCCTTAAACGGGTCGAACCCCAAGGAAGACACCCAGCCCCACAGAGTGGACACCCAGCCCCGGACGCGGAACCAAGCTCCAGCCTCCCTTGGCAGAGCCGACGAGACAGAACACTCAGACTCAGACTCAGCGGAAACAACAGACCGACGGGAGAAAGGAACTTTCCCAGCGGACCAGTACAGCAGTCTGCGAGAACGAAACCCAGAAGCTCTGCGACGAGCACGCAGACGCGCACGCCCGACACGGCGACGACGAACGAAACGACACGGGAGGACCCGCCGCCGCAGCGAAACTCTACGCACCCCACGACGACGGACCGCCACGCGACAGGAACGAGGAACAAAGACCTGCGGACAACCTTTCGGGGACGACCGACAGGAGAGGAGAAGTCGACCCGACTCAAGCAAAGCCAGGAAGACAACAAAGACAGGAGCCAAGACCATAGGTAAGCCCACAGTTTCAGCAGCTCGCGCAAAGTATTGGCATGACGTTGGTAAGCCAACATCACACACACAAAAAGCACTTGCAAAACACACTGACACGTCTAAGGCCATGGCAGTTTGATTAAATGCAAGCGAGGCCCGACTCCACGCCAATCCCAGCGCGTCAACGATGAGGTCGAAGTCACCATCGACGCCCTCCATGGTGCCATTGCAGGACCATGGCTGAGTACTAACAGGAGACGAGGGGCAGCCCGTAGGGCAGTGGTCGAGGGGAACACTCCCGACTAGCGAATACTTGTGACCCGCCGCCGGAGAGCATAACCCAAGCAGAACAAAACACACCAAGACCCTACCCCAGGGTCCAAAACCGAAACCACCACTAAGAGCCCATGAAGCTTGGAACCTGGAGCTAGTCATCCCCTTACGATGGGCCTTCCGGGCCTCTTGGGCATCGTGTGCCCCTTGACTAGTGGATCCCAGGCCCAGCACCATGGGAGAGACGGCCATCAGGGCTCTTGTCATTTCTTCATCGTCACTTTCTTGATTGGCCGTCTTGGCTCTTAGATGTTCTTTTTCATTCTTTTTGTATGACTTCGCACACAAATCACCAAGTGTACTATTCGCCCCCAGTGCAAACACTGGGCCCGCAACGACCGAGGCGTAGAACGCCAGGAGGTAGTAGTACACGACGTTGCCTCGTGGGTAAGCCAACGGCGTGCTTTCCAAGTTGCAAGTAAGGCACAGGAGTAGAGAGCGACCACCCACCGCCGCCAGTCGCATCCACCGAGCAGCAGGGCACGCCGCTGCCATTCTCCATTGCACCATGGTAGGGATTTGTATCAGACACTGTTGGTCTGATGTTGTCGAAATTGCAGCCCAACGGGCAGTGGTTTAGTGCATCCAAGCAGCCTGGCAAGACCGGGACAGAAGAAGAGCCACCCACACAAACCGAAAAACCCACCAGCACAACCCACCGCAAAACCCAGCCAAGCCGAGAGCCAGAGATGCACCTCTGTGCACAGGAACTGCGCCTCACAGGCGTCTTCATGGGGCTCACAGCCTCTTGAGGGCCCGAAGCCTCTTTTAATTCTTCATTGCACCCAAGTGCTTCATCTTTTGTCTTTTCTTTTCTTGAAGCTTCTTTTGAGCTCTTGTTTATCTTTCTTTTTCTTGACAATCTTCGCACTTCACATGGCCGAAGCCTGAAGCCCGCCTCCGCCAAACAGCGTAACTCGCCGTAGGGGGCGTTGTCAAGGAAGCTTATTTCGAACCAAAGGGGGGAGAGTTGACGGCGCTCCGTTACTCCGCGGTGGCGCCGAAGAAGGAAAGCGAAGCAGCATATCCTTAGATGTGGGCCCGAAAAAGCCCAGGTCTCAACTGTCCTTAGCCATCCTTAGCAAGGAGCAGTCAGCAACTGAAGGCGCTTCAGCCTTCCCTCCAGGGAGGACGCTTGCGCCTCCCTGCCACGTCTGCGGCACGAATGCGTGCCATGACCTGGAGAGTCCTGACACATTCTTGGACTGGAACGTCAAGAGACCCCCATCCTAAGCGCTGTGCAAGAAGAGAGGCCGGAACACTTACTGTGCGGAGGTGCGCGTGCGCCACGCAATTCCATAAAACATGCCTAGTGTGCGGCGTGATCGACTGCATGCAACTGTAGCACATGTCGCGCACCGGACCAGCCGGTGTCCACCGCGCGTCAGGGGCAAAGCCCCCGCACATGATGGAGACGCCGTGCCCGTCAACCTGGCCTGCGATGGTGCGCAAGCGCTTGACCAGCGCGTTGGAAGCTTGTAAGCCCTCACTGCGAGCATCACGAGCATCATTGCGGTTCGCGGCCAGCCAGCGCTGCAGCCTAACGAGCCGCCAAGACTCGCGAACCTCGTGAGCAGCACGCTGCTGCTCAGTACTCTCTGCGAGAATGTTCCATGAGACTTGCCCATTGGTCCAGCGTCCCCAAGAGCCGCTTCTCTTCCAAGGTGCAGGCAAGCTGGCATCTAAGGCCTTGACGGGTCGTGCAGACATGAGGGCCGCACGCTGTGGTCTGTGACCGAGTCTGAGCTTGTACGAGGCCCATCTAGCTGCTGCTTTAAGCACCCTGCAGGCCGCGACCACTGAGAGGTCTGCCGTGTGGCCTAGCAACAGGAGCCGCTGCAGGTCTCTGCTGCTTCGGTCGCCCTTAGCATCACCCCCTTTGACCGCTCTTCTGAAAGTCTCAGTATACCAACTGAGCTCTGCTGCTTTCGGCTCTCGACCATTCAAGAGGCACGCCCAAGCCGCGATCGGACTGAAAACGGTAGCACAAAGGTTCGCGCGCATCTTCAGAGAAACTGGGAGCAGAGCGATACGACTTGCTACAGAGGCAGCCTTGTCCTTACGCTTCTGCTCTTTCTGAGTCAGCGGCCGGTCTGAGGAGCCCAGCGAGGCTCCGAGCACGTCAGCCGTATCGGCTGAGTTAGGGCTCCGACAGAAAAACTGGGTTTTGGATTCGTTAGTACGCATGCGCGAGACTTGTTCCAATTCTCCCCACGTGTCGAGGGCGATGCGAAGAGAGTCCCTAGACGTGGAAAGCAGGGTCCTGTCGTCGAGGTACAACAGGCATTCCGTGCCCGGTGCTTGTCTTGCAGCATCTTGCTTCGGCGCCGCGAGCACAGCTGCCAAGCCCAAAGGGCTCCAGGGATCTCCCTGGGGGAGCCCTGCACAGAGCTCTAAGGGCTCCGGACACACGACGCCAGCGAAGGTGACCCATCGCACTTGTCTCTTCCACTGATTCTCCAGGAGATCCAGGACAGTGCTTGGCACTCCCATGGCCCTGAGGCCAATTATCGCAAGCGGATAATCGAGCGAATCGAAAGCTTTACGATCGTCGAGAGCCACACCATGACTGTAAGTCTCCCCCGGGAAGTCGACCTCAGTCGCGAGAAGCAAGACTTCGGGGTCGACCCCCTTGGATCCACCTGCCTGCCAGGGCTGCAGGGCCCGGGCTAAGTGGTTAGACAACTGAAGAAGTCTCAAGCGACCCCAGGCTCTGTAGATCGCACTGCTGATTGCGATGGGCCTGGTCTCATCCAAAGACGGGCAGATGCCCTTTCCCTTGGGAAGAAAGACTAACCTCCATTGAGTGAGGCTTTCCGGCCACTGGCCTTCCGATTCACAGTGGTTCAGGACGTCCGCGAGCTGGGAAAGCCCAGCCTCCGGGAGAGAAAGCAAGCAATCCGGGGTGAAGCCGTCGAGTCCGGCCGCTTTGCCTTTCATCTTCTTAAGGGAAGCTTTGAGTTCTTGGGCCCCTATCGGAGGGAGAGAAAGGCCCGGAGAGCGAGGACGAAGAAAGTCACCATACTTCTGCTGAAAAGCTTCGCAGTACGTGTCCGCAGGTTGATGAACCCCGAAGATCGTGCCCCAATGATCTTTGAGCGCACCGGCGGCCGCAGGGCGATTACTGAAAACCTGACCCTCCGCATTCTGGATGCATTGGGAAGTGGGGCCTTCGCTTTTAATCCAAGAGGCAGCTCCCGACAGAGAGTGGACGCGATGCTTCCACTCGGTTAAAGCCTTAGCCTGCCCCTTAGCAAGCTGGGCGCGCAGCCTTTTCTGGGCCAGGGAAACTGCGAGGCCCCAGCGGCCCTGAGCGACTGCCTGCCTCTCCTCTGCCTGCAGAGGAGTCCTGAGCAGCTTCTTGACTAAACCCGGGTCGACGGCGTTGCTTCTCCAGGATTGAACGTGGGCTTCTCTGAAACGCCGCAAGATTCTGCGGATCTGCCGCTCCTCAAGAGACTGCGCAAGCCCGGCAGCGTGAGCTGCCGTACGCAGTTTAGGCATGCTACCAAGAGGCCTCTCGCTACGCTCCTGAGGCACGCACTTCGAGAGAACCAGCCATTCCTCAGCCGCCTGAGACCAGAGCCGCCACTTGGACTCAACCGAGGGAGAGGCATCCAAGCTGCAGGCGCTGAGAGGCCACTGCGGCGCAGGACCCTGCTGGTCGCCACTCGACGGGTCTAAAGGTTTGTATGCTCTAGTTTTGGCCATTCTCCAGGCTCGAGGGCCTTTCTGAAACGAAACCTGAAGAGTGCAACTGGCGATGCTGTGGTCTCCAAGGCCCGGGAGCTCAGAGGAGCAGGAGACCTGCAGCCGTTCACAAACCCATATTGCGTCGATGGGATGGACACTACGATTGTGGCGAGCCACAGCCGCAATGCTAGCTCTTTCCGTAGAGAGAAGATCATGAATGGGACCCTCCAATTGATTCTGGTTACCATCAAGGCAAACGATCCAGTCATGACAGGAGGCGCCCTGAACCAGAGTGTTAAGGGCCTCAAGAAAACCTGTGTCTTCGTCCGGCACACGATAACCGCAGATCACCGTGACTGGAGAGGCAGCTCCATGAACAGTGGCCCTGAGAAACTGGAACTGAGCTGCACACTCGCTTTTGACTTCGGATACGCCGAGGGGCTCACGGACACAGATGGCAACGCCACCTCTACGCTTGCCCGTCTGCCGAGCCACGTACATTTCCCATCCTGAGCGGCGGGCCGTATTTCTGGCGCCTGAGAGCGCAGCATCTGAGAGGTTCAACTGACTCCTGAAAACAAACGACCTGAATGTTGTCATCAAGGGCCGTTTTCAAGACCGCCTCCTCATTTTGATTCCAGCTGGCAATGTTCTGATTCCAAATGGTAATCATTCTGGGGTGAGCGGGACCCGGATTTTGGGCCTCCCCAATGCGCTGCCCGTTAAGCCCTTTGCAAAGGCCGCAGGACAACGCCTGAGGAGGCGCCGGCCTTCAGGAGTCGGTGGCCGTCTTTTTGACCTTTCTCGCGTCCTTGACTGCTTGCTTCCCAACCGCCTGGCAGGCATTCCAAACCTTCTTGCGCTTCTCAGGGGGGGGAGCTTGTTGCCGTGGTTAAGCACCGCGAAACACGGGGCGTGCTGGAGCCAGCTGCGATTCACCAGGACGCCACAGGCCTGGCACTTGTGCCAGGGGACGTGAATGGTGCTACCGTCCTTGATCTTGGCGGGTTTGTAGAGCGACGGCTCCACCTCAATGTGATGGCTGCCCTTCCATCTTCTCTTATTAAAAGTCTTGATGAAAGCCGTCCACTTGAGGTTTTGACCCTCCCGAGCCTTCAGCAAACGATTGTGGGTGTTCTGCAAAGACACCGCCTTCGTGAGGGGAAAGGCCTTGGCCATGCCGTGCGCTTTGCGAAGGTGGATGTCCTTGGTTTGTGAGTGGCCCTGCTGTCCCACGATTCTGTGAACCTGAAAACCGCAGTTCGGGATGGGGCAAACCCACCAAAGCAACTTGGCGCCCTTAGCAGGAGCCTCGACTTCAGTCAACTGCAAACCGTGCGTTCCAACTTGAGGTCTGGACGACGACGACTCAGAGTGCTTCCAACCCTGAAAAGCCTTCTTCTTGGCAATCTTCGCTTCACGCACCTTTCTCTTTGTAGCGGAGTCCATCTTACTCTGAACCCGAGGGCCTCTAGTCGCGGACACCTGGATCTCAGGAAGGTTATCCGCATCATACTTGTGCTTAGAGATGAGGTGTTGCCTACGGGCTTCATGGCAGCCCCTGACCAGCGGGTGATGCCACACCGTGTAATCGCATCCCGGTTCTTCACATCTCCACCAGAGCTGCCAACCGTCACGAGCCGTGTCCTCGGGGACCAAAAGCGGGTGTCTGGGGCCGCAGTAAGCAGACGGCGCGGGAGCGCATCCACAAGCTGTTTTCTTGCAGAGCCGTTTACGGGCCGGAGCAACTCGTGAGAAAGAGTCCTCAGGCCAAACCTCAGCGCTCGACCTTCCATCCGCCACAGAGGCAGCTGGGCGGAGCCAAGCAGCAGACTCGGAACGAGAGTCTCGCTGGAGAGGAGAGCCCTCCGCCCGTCCTGAAGAGGTCGCAGGCTCCGGGTCCTTAGAGAAGCCCTTATGGACCAGAAGCGCACCCTCACTTTCTGCAACTTGTCTCGCAGTGGGAAAAGCGGCCACTTTCGGGGGGGCAACACCGTTCTTGGGCCCTTCAACGTATCCATCGTCAGAGGGAGGACCCGCCTGTGACCTGACAGACTTGGGGTCAGGCGAGGATCCCTGACCAGAGAAGCTGTTAGCCAAAACACTAGGAAACCCCTGCGATTTTCGGGGGCCCCGCCCTTCTGAGGCTTTAGCCCCACTCTCCGAAGGAGCAGCTGGGCAGGTGCCTCTGGAAGGAGCCGGGCAAATCCACTGGGACACCTCAGAATCACCAGTCACGGAACGACAAGGCGTGCCCGAGCCCTTACTGTTGGTGGGGGGACCAGAGCTCCTGCACCGGACGGAGTTGCTCCCATCAGGAGCGGGTTGGAGCCAACGTGACAGATCAGATCCTGCAGAGGACGGCGCGCTCTTGGGAGACTTAGCGCCTCCACCTAGGTAGCTTTGAGAAGCCGGGGGTCTACTGTCATCAAGCCCAAACTTGGCCCATTTCTCGGGAGGGGTCTCCGAAGAAGGCAAAGTGTAGAAATGTTTATCCTTCAGGAAAAGCATCAGAGGGGAGCTGCTCACCGAGTGCCGAGGAACAACCCTTTCCAGAAACTTCCATTTCCCATGCAAGTGCTTGAACACCAACACTTCAACTTGCAGAACATGCGCTGAGGCCATGGTGAGCCACGGGTCAAGCCATTTGGCCGGACGCCTGCAGGCTTGAAGATATTCCGAAGCGTCCTGAGGAATGGCCCCCGCCTCGGTCTGCTCATTACATTCGGCATCCGAGTACCACTCGAGCACCCAGGCACCCTGGTTGTTCTTTAGCCAGTCTGTAGCCTTCGTACGGAGCGAGAGAGCCACCTTAGCGATCTTCTCCTGGACCTTGCTAGATACAGCTCCTTGCCTCATGGCATTGCCTGCCGCCAAACAACGGAACCCACAGTCCCCGAAACCTCCAAGGTCCCAGAGTTGAACCCCGTCGGGCCCTAATCCGCAGGCATCCTCAACTCGCTGAGCTTTGGGAGGTTTGTTTGGGGAGGGTCCCGCGTTACGGATGTTTTTGGCACCGCGCTTTTCATCCATGTCGATCTCACCTGCAGAGTCAGGGAGGGAAGCGTCAAACATCGTGGGTTGAACCTCATCACCATTCTCCGCAGCAGTAGTGGCATGAGCAGTGGAGGCCTTGTCCCCATCTTGCGGCGGGTCTTGGGGACGGGTGACCCACGCAGGTGCCGCTCTCATGGGGTGCGAAACCGGTTTAGTTGAGCGTTTCTGCCAAGCATGGATTTCAATGGTGCCTATGTCATCACCACATTTGAGAAACCATTGCCCGCTAGGTTCAACTGACCCAGGGGCCGCGCTGAAAGTCCAAATGCCCCTCGCTCTAGCTGGCGCTTGGATATCCGAGATGACCCTCCAGCCCTGAGACGTGAGAAGTTGCTGAAGCTGTGGTGGGCTCCAAGAAGACGGAACGTTCTTTGCAGCCCAGCGGCGTTTGAGGAGGGCGGCTTCGGAACCGTTCTCACCCGCAGGGATACCGATGAGTCCCAAGCACGATCCTCCACCTGATCTGTAAGCCAGAGAAGTTTTGGCTTTGTCGGCCTCGCGCTTCGCCAAAGCAAAGTAGGCCTGGGCTTTAAGCTTGTTGTGAGGGATCCACTTGATCGGGACTCGCTGGCCTGGGTCGGCCTGACCGTCAATCCTCTTAACAAAGAAACCTTTGGCACCTGAGTTCGCGAGGACCAAAGGAGACTTATCAGCAGGGAGCTTGAGGAAACCGCAGATTGCTTCGTCTCTCTGCTCGAGCAAGTGCCAACCGTAGCTCCGAACAGACAGAGCTTCCGGCAGCAAAGTTCTGACAGCTGAGGCGGGCTTGCGACACAACTCATCCCAGTCACAAGGAGGTTGGAAGGCCTTGGGAATGATGACCTTGAGGGTAGCTTGCTTGATCTGCTCAGGAACCGTTTTGCATTCGACAACCTTAGGAACGCTTCCCCACGTCGGAAGATCTTGGGCGAGAGCTGTAGTCCACACCTCTTTCCACTTGCTATCAGCAAGGCGGATCCATGTCTTGGTGGCTGTGAGCCCCTCCGGCGCTTTGGGTCCATGCCAGTCCTTGATGATCAGAGCAACTTTGCTCTTGAGTTCATGGACCTTAGCTAGCCCCATCAACGCTTTGGCTTGCTCGAGGGTAACAGTGGCAGCCACGTTGTCGCCGGGCTCTTCGCCTTCCTCTAGTGACTGATCTAGCGTAGCTGCCGAGCTGAGAACTCCCGGCCACCACTTGGTGTCAATCGCCCAGGATTGCTGACCCTGAGGGCCCTGCGCATCCTTCCTAGACTTACCGCCACCCTTGCCGGACGCAGGAGTGCTTGAAAGAGCCCTAGACTGGGGCGCAGACGGCAGCTTGGGACCAGGCCTTGAGGCAGGCCCTGGCACAAACCTGGGAGCTGGCTCAGGCACCTGAGCCAGCGCCTTAAGCTTGCTAAGAAGGCCCTTCGTGCCAGTGGCTTCACACTGTGTCACTAGTGCTTTCAGCTGCGCCAGCAAAGTGGCTTCCACCTGAGTCTGAGGTGGGGACTGCTCAACTGGTGCCTGAAAAGAGACGCGGCGAGGCGGAGCATCATTCGATGGGCCACCTTTGCCCTTTCCCGGACTTCCCTTGGGCCCTCGCTTCCCTTTGCCTACGACTTGCCAACCTGGACTGGTGCTCCTGGGGCGATCACTAGGCGCCGGGACCTTGGGAGTAGGGCTACGGCCCCTTTCTGGGAGACGGCGCAGCTTCAGATTCGGAATCCCCGCCGTCATCGTTCAAGGACGACAGCAAAACTTGAAGCCCTTTGAGAAGCTTCTCTTCTTGTCTCTGGCGTTTGGTGGCCGCGGCGCCTCCGCCACCTCCATGCCAGTACTTGCGTCTCCCTCCATGGCTAGCTGGAAGCAGCTGCTGGTCTTGACTCGTGTTTGACGGTAACAACGACTTGACTTCTTCTTGCAGAGTGGCAGCTGCGGGTACTGAGGCTCGGGCCGACTCCTTGTGCACTCTGTTAGGGAGAAGACCCAGCCAAAGACACTCATGATGGGCCCTATTCTTGCAGATCCTTCTGACAAGACCCGTTGGCATAGAAGGACAACGACGAGCCAGACGAAGCCTGCGAGTGCGAACACGGCAAGTAAGACGACCGCCTACGCACCTAACTCGACGTCCGTTACCCGCTCCATACTTCCTAGCAGACCGAAGCCAGACCGGTTGCACGGAGGAGGTGGGGGTTTGGGCGTCTCTCCTGAGTCTTGCCCGTTGCGCTTGACGGGCTTTGTGTTTGCGACAGAGTTTACCACGCAAACGTGAAACGAGTTTACCGTGGACAGTGTGCGTGACACGCGGTTTGCACCTTTTCTTCTTGAAGACCTTCCACAGACAGACGACGACGCCTCTCAGGACAACCCAAGAAGAGCAGAGGAAAGCACAAGCAAGGTAGCATTTCCCGAAACGTGGCCCCCACTCCGGGCCAGAGAGCTCGACAACGAGGTCGAAGAAAAGTGAGAACTCGAAAACTGACGAGTTGAAAGAAGAGAGCGAGTCCGGACGAACGCGAGCCCATGGACCCAAGTGCAAAAAGTCTTGACAAACGATCGTGGGTAAGCCCACGGCCGTCAGACACACGGCACTGCAAACAGGAGCACTCGTGGGTAAGCCAACGGCGTGCTTTCCAAGTTGCAAGTAAGGCACAGGAGTAGAGAGCGACCACCCACCGCCGCCAGTCGCATCCACCGAGCAGCAGGGCACGCCGCTGCCATTCTCCATTGCACCATGGTAGGGATTTGTATCAGACACTGTTGGTCTGATGTTGTCGAAATTGCAGCCCAACGGGCAGTGGTTTAGTGCATCCAAGCAGCCTGGCAAGACCGGGACAGAAGAAGAGCCACCCACACAAACCGAAAAACCCACCAGCACAACCCACCGCAAAACCCAGCCAAGCCGAGAGCCAGAGATGCACCTCTGTGCACAGGAACTGCGCCTCACAGGCGTCTTCATGGGGCTCACAGCCTCTTGAGGGCCCGAAGCCTCTTTTAATTCTTCATTGCACCCAAGTGCTTCATCTTTTGTCTTTTCTTTTCTTGAAGCTTCTTTTGAGCTCTTGTTTATCTTTCTTTTTCTTGACAATCTTCGCACTTCACATGGCCGAAGCCTGAAGCCCGCCTCCGCCAAACAGCGTAACTCGCCGTAGGGGGCGTTGTCAAGGAAGCTTATTTCGAACCAAAGGGGGAGAGTTGACGGCGCTCCGTTACTCCGCGGTGGCGCCGAAGAAGGAAAGCGAAGCAGCATATCCTTAGATGTGGGCCCGAAAGAGCCCAGGTCTCAACTGTCCTTAGCCATCCTTAGCAAGGAGCAGTCAGCAACTGAAGGCGCTTCAGCCTTCCCTCCAGGGAGGACGCTTGCGCCTCCCTGCCACGTCTGCGGCACGAATGGGGGGAGAGTTGACGGCGCTCCGTTACTCCGCAACCAAATCCATACTTGGGTGAGTTTGGAGTTGCTGCGATTGGCCGAAATCTGGGGCTGGTGCCGTCCTACAACCCAAACCACAGCATAAAAAAGCTTTGAAGCCATCCTAAACCATGAACCCCTTAACCCTAAACCCCTAAACCCTAAGCCCTAAACCCTAAACCCTAAACCATGAAACCATGAAACCCCTAAACCCTAAACCCTAAACCCCTAAACCCTAAGCCCCAAAGCTTCAAGTCTAAGCTCCTAAACCGCAAACCATGAACCCTGAAGCTTCAACTCCAAACTGCTAAACCCCGAACCCTGAACCTTAAACCCTGAACCCGAAACCGAACCCTTATAGATCCCTGAAAGGAACCCTAGAGCCTTATAGATCCCTTACAGGGGCCCTAGACCCTTATAGATCCCTTAAAGGAACCCTAGATTGTTGGTAGCAACGTGCTAAGATGCCTGCTAGCAGCAAAAAGGCCAAGCACGCGACCCTACACCATGACCACAGCGCCTACAACACGGCCAGCTATGCGTCCTTTGCAAGCGTCCAACTGATTGCTTTCGGGATAATCAGGCTCTAGTTTGTTGGTGTTGATCCACCACCCTGTGAAGGCTGCTGTCGCCGGCATCATAGCAGAGTTTCGCCCACTGCCGAACAACGACTTCGGAGTCGATGTTTTCCTCGGGGGATCTTGCAACCCCACGACTTGGCGGGCAGACATAGCAATCCCTGCCTTGGTCACGGCTGGCTTCAAAGCATATGACCCACAAGACGCAGAATGGAGCGAGGAGATGATGGAGATGGAAGCCCGTGCTAAGGACCCGTGGTTAGAAAAGCTGGTGCTGTGGTTTTGACAGACCCCGTCAACTTGCAAGTACAGGAGCAACTGCCAGCGCAACTTGTAGCTAATTACCACAGTCACTCATCGATCCCTTAAAGGAAGATAGCGTGCATTTTTATGCTGGCTTTGTCTTTAAAGGGGGGGTAGTCCAGCTGCCTGGGCTGGACGTATCGATGCCCAATCTGGGCTGGTGACTCCAGTTGATAATGCTCTCTTGCTGCAACACGATTTTAAGCCGGCGATTTGATTCTGAGAGTTTTTCTTTCCCATGCATGACCTGGTTTTTCACAGTACCAAATCCTTGAGAAACCTTGGGAGTGCAGTTTATCGTGTTGCAACCCGCGCTCGCCCATCAAGGTAGTCGCACTGGCGGGAGCATGATCTGGAAAACATGCTTATGTTCAAAACAGGACGAATACGGCCATTTTGGCTCAAGTTTTGGCTTTGCTGCTTTTGATTCCAGGGCTGTCTTGATATGGCCGGCGCTGAGGGTTCCGAGCACCGACGGCGCTCCAGATCGCCGCGCACACCGACGCGAGAGGAAAGCCGCCTGCAGGATTTGCGTACAGACCTTGAGTCCTTCAAGGCCGAACAGAGATCTCGCTGGTCTGCGCTGCACGAGCGCTTGGCAGCCATGTCCGGCCGCCTCCAGGCCTTGGCCGTGGAACAAGGTCGCCAGAGAGAGCAGGTTCTCGCCTTGCAGCGAGAATTCAATGATCTCGAGACCATCGTCCACGCGTGGCTGTGACTGGATGGCAAGCGGTTGGCTTGACAGAGACCCGGCGGCTCGCTCTTACTCGCTCGAGCAGTTCACTGCACTCTGGAGCATGTGATTCATGGTAGCGCTGCCTTCGAATGCACTTGTGTTGTCAGTGCCAGAGCCAAAACCTGCTGTTGCGTCTTTCGCTCACGCTGCATGCAACTTCTCCATGTGCACATGCATGTTTTCGAAGATCAGTCTGCTTTACGGTGAATGCCTCTCAGCTTGGCCCTTGCTTTTTCGGCGCTTGGGGGGGGGGCGACTCTCAGGGTTCTGCCCTGGTCTGGGACTCAGGCTCGCCTTTTACGGGGGTGCATACCGCGAACCTGTCTTTTGTTTCAGGCAATCATATCGCGACTTCTCCATTCAGGTTGGACACTGAAGCGATTACAACCAATCAGGTGTTGAATCTTGGTGTAGCTTTAGCCAGGTCCGTCTCGGATCCTTTCCCAATCAGGTGGGAAATTGAAGGCGCCTTCCAGCGATTAAGAGTAGGTGGTTCCTGCACTCCGGGGAGGTCCATCGGTGCTCTTATCCCGATCTGGTGGGAGGCTGAAGATGCGACTCACAGTGAGAATGCTGACCGGCACCCCGGGCCAGGTCACACTGCTGAAAAATCCCACAGGCAAAAGAAGGCCTGCTTCATCAGAGCATAACGGATTGCACCCTGGGCAGGTCCGTCAGCTCTGCTCTCCAAGCTTGAGGCTGGAGGTGTGATGTGGCTCTCTTCATAGCATTGACCGGCACCCTGGGCCAGGTCCACACTGGAAAGAAGCCCACCAGGCCAGGTAGGACCGTGCTCAAGTGTTTCTGGGCCTGAACAACCATGGTCCGAAGGATCAAGGTGAGCTGGCGCACTCAGGCACGGTGAGAGCGTGCCTCTCAACGGGATCGGGTTGAGCTCTCTGGACCTCGGCAGGAACGAGGATCAGTCGGTTTCGAGGCTCGGGTGAAGCCCGCTTTATTCCAGGCATCATAGACGCTCCAGGTCGTTCTAATAGAGCCGGTCGGTGTACGGCGAGCTACAATTTTGCAGCCCGGTGCTTGGAAAGGAAGACGTTTACAGTCTGCGACATTGGCTTTACAAGTCACTGGAATCCAGGGTCTCCACGTGGGGTGCAGCGTCCCGCGGCTTCGGGACCGGAGATTTAGTTGTAGGATTGTTGTGTTCGCGACCTGTCTTGCTGGCAGGACGGGCTTCGACCTCCAGGGCGACATCTAGGCAGGAAAGGACGTGCTAGGCTCGGAAGGGCCTTCTTAAGCTTAAGCCACGCGGCACATATCATGAACCGATGCCTAGGTGTGAAAATTTGCTTTCGCCCCCAATCTGGGGGGGCCCCAGTGATTTGCTTTCGCCCCCAACCCGGTGGGGACCGACTTGTTCGTGCACTCTACAGTATCAATGCGAGGCTTCCGTAGGCGGTGGGCACATAGCTCGCTAGAGGACGAGGACAATACAATTATAGCTGAAAGCCCGGTGGATGCGGTTTCGAATGACCAAAATGTGGCTGTCGATGTGGAGCTGGCGGGTGGCGAGGAGGATCTATCCCTATCGTCGTGGGTTGAGGTAGCCGACGAGGCAGGTGATCTAACCGCTGCCGGAAGTTCCTGCGGAATTGGCCAAACTTCGACATACAATCGCATGAAGAAGAGAGGGAGGCCAGACGCCTTCGAAGCATCGGCAGCGACAGACGGATCATTGGCAGTGAAATCAGCTATTGAACAGACTGTTCCTGTTAGGGTTGTTATGCCCTGGGAGACAGGTGTTTGAACAAACTCTCCCGAAGGGGGATGTTTTCTTATTTGATTGTTTTCATGTTTGGAAAAATTGTTTACAATTTTTCATGCGCACCTTCCTTTGTCATGCCTTGCTGGATCGTACTGCATGACTTGCTGTTTTCTCACGATTGCTTTACCATGCTTGTCTTGGTATTCGCAGTTTTGCTTGCAGGCGTCATTTTGGCTCAAGTTTTGCTTGCAGGCGTGAGAAAATTTTTGTCCGGGGCCTCTAGAGGCTTGTTCCTTCGTGTAACAGGTTCCCAGGCCCCTTACGCAAGGCTTTAGCTTCCCGGACAGCCGGGTGTGCATGGAACGGCGGCCGCAGCGCCCGCCTTTGGCCTTGCGACGCCTCCTGCTTCTTTGGCTGTGGGAGCGCTTGACCTTGAGAGGCTGGGAGTCCGCGATCCTGCGGCCTGACCCACCTTTTCGCCTAGGTCTCTTGCAGTTCTTAGGCGCAGCTTCAGCCAGCTCGCACATCTTGCTGGCAGTCGGAGTGCAGAACTTGTTGCCTTTGCGTGCTACTTGCAGAGCCATCAGAAGCATTTTCAGCACAATTTCCGAGCTGGTGCGTGCAAGTCGTGGCCGCCTCAGTCGACTCTACCAGGGTCAGTGAGCGCCCGCATTTTCTGGGGTATGGCGCGACCGCTCGATAGGATGTTGCTTGCTGCAGACAAACACGTGTCGAAGCATTCCCTTAAAATGCCTTGGGAGCGAGGGACGATGAAAGCAGTTTTCTCGCAGGGCGACTTGAATTCCCTTTCCCAGTGCAGTGTGCCGGCTCCTCTACAAACGGAACCCTTGGACTCCGCTTCTTTCGAGGAGGCCTCCGCCAAGGCTCACCCCCAAGAGCATGCTTCACAGTTTGTTCAGGTCGCTTTCTCTGCCAGGAAATTTCAGAGGCCTCAAGAAACTGAAGAGCAACAGTTGCAATTGCTTGCAGCAAGATACGATGTTCTCTTGAGCCACGCATACGAATGCTCCTCCCTTGGCAGACTGTTGAAGGACAAGTGCGAAGCAGAACGGATCAGTCTTGTTGCCGAATCCCTGGGTGGCAAGGCCCTCTCGACTTTGAAGAAGCGGTTGTCCAGTCTCGCCCGCATGGTGGGATGGTGCTCGAACCAGGGCATGTCAGCTTTCCCGATCGACTCTCAGGTGTTGATCGAATACACCCAGCATCTGCAGCAGAGCGGGGCCTCGCATTCAGTGTTTGGATCTTGCATCGAAGCTTGTAACTTTGCTAGATTCATTTTGGGTGTGGAAGCGATTGGAGATCCTCACAAGCACCCGCTTGTGCAAGGGCGTCTTCGCAAGGTGCGGTTCAACCGCCCGCCTCGTGTGCAAGCCAGGCCTTTTCAGGTTCGCGAGGTAGCATACCTTGAAGCTTTCGTCCAGGACAGCAGCCGTGATGCAAGGGATAGATATGCCGCTGGTGCTTGCTTGTTCTGCATTCACTCGAGAGCCCGTGTAGGGGATGTGAGGGCAGTCAAGATGATGACCATCGATTTTGCAGAAGGTGAGGGTTTCCTTGAGTGCATCTCAACGTCCCACAAGTGTGCATCGACAGGCAACCCGTTGGGGCTTGGGTTGAGCTTAGTGTCCCCCGAGCGGGGTGTGGGTCAAGGTCTTTGGGCTAAAGCTTGGGTTGAGGTGTGGCGCTTGTCGGGCCATCCGATCGCCACTGGAGCCTGCAGCCTGCCCCTGCTGCAGTCACCTATGCTCAATGGGTCATGGAGCGGTCGTCGGATTCCGACGGGCAGGTTTGTGTCCTGGATTTCTTCGATCCTTCAGTCTGGGGACTCAAGCATGGGGACTGATCTCAAGGGTCACTCGTGCAAGCATACTGCCCTGTCCTGGGCGAGCAAGACGGACATGTCCAAGGACTCCTGCACCATTTTGGGACACCACTCCTTGAAGGATCGGCGGTCTGTCGTAACCTACTCCAGAGACATTCAAGCGGGACCGTTGCGGGAGCTTTGTCAAATGTACTGCGACATTCGGTGTGGCAGGTATCTTCCAGACATGACCCGGTCAGGTCTTTATGCAAAGGGCCTTGTCGCTGCCGGCTCGGCCGAGGAGCTGCCAGTCGACAGTGTGTTCGAGACTGAGGCAGAAAGGGACTGGTACCGGCCTGCGGTTAGTCCTGGCTCAGCGTGTGGCTCGGAAGCCCTTCCGAGTGCAGGTGCTCCTGCCTCCGAGCCGGGTTTCGGAGATCAGAAGGATGCCAGTGACGATGACACCCCTTTCGGCCGTGCTGTGGACTCCCTGATCCATAGTGCGGAGCGTGCCGCTTGGGAGGACCCGGATGCTGCTTTCGGGGACAGTGGATCTCAGGAGGAGGAGCCGGGCTCTTCTTCGTCTAGCGAGTCTAGTTCTGATTCAGGTTCGTCTGACAGCGAGATAGATGAAGTCCTGACCGCAAGTCAGGCAGATCCCACAGTGGGGCAGAGGTATCACGATCGGTGCCCTGTCTATCAGCAGAAGAATACAAGGACTCTTCATCTCAAGCCTGCGGGAAGCTCCATGGAGCGTTTTATATGTGGCCGTGATATCACGGCGAACCACAAGCCGTTCACGTCGGCGGTTCAAGCGGCGCACTGGCGCTGCAAGCAATGCTGGAAGGGCAAGCCCATCAGGGACTTAGGGTCCTTGGTTCACTGCCTTGACGAGCGATTGAGGAAGATTCCGAGGTCCGAGTAAAAGTCTGCGCTGTGGTGCTTCGGAGTCAGGTCCCCATGAGCCTTGAGGCCCCGAGGTTCTTTGATTGTCTGCAGCGCTTTATCTTGTGAGTGCGTGCGGGAGACTGATTGTGATCACATGCAGGACGGCTCAGACACCTTGCGGGATCATGTACATGGCATGCTGGAAATACCTTGCGGGAGTGATTTGTCAATTGAGTTAGGGCATGTCACACTTGCGGTCATGCTAGTTCTGAACGTGTAGGATCCGACTCTTCATCATGGCGTCCATCTTGAAGAGTCAAGCGGCTTTTGAAGAAAGGGCCAAAGAATGTGGTCTGGCGCAAGCTGAGCTCGATGTGCTTGTGCGTAAGGGGCTGACTTCCTTGTCGCTCCTTGCCTTCAGCGTCTCGACCCCGGGCGAAGTGCCACAGGAAGCTGAACTCAGGTCCATCCTTGACCCCGCGGACCCCACAACTGTGCCGTTGCGTGCACTGTCGGCGCTGCGGCGCCTCATGTTTGAAGCTCAAACTTTGTCGATCGCACAGCTCAAGAGCTCGATTGAGGGTGAAGGTGAAAGGAAAGCCGAGCTGGCTCCTGCCGAGCGAGCGAATCGCCTGGCCGATCAGCGCAAAAGGCTCATCGGCCTCAGCTTGACGGGCCCTCTGGAAAACGCTTTCAGCAATTACACTTATGTCGCTCAGGTCGTTGATCAGGATTGCCTTTCCTATCTGGAGCCCCACAGGTTCCTCACCAGGGCCATGGAAGTGAATAGAGAGAAGCCGGGGAAGGAGTTGATCTTAGATGAGGGTTCGCGTATGAGTGTCCGCGACAAAGCCCACAAGGATAAGTGTGGCATTCAGAATGAGCTGCAGCTCTCCGAAGCCTTGTGTCGTAGGGCACTTGCCTGTGATCTTCTGCAGCTCTGCACGTTTGCCTCCATGGACATGTGGCACAGGCATTTGCTTGCCAAGCTGTCGGAACAGCCGCCTCCCTATTATGCCAAGGTTTCGATGGAGCAGCTGCTCAGGTGCGACAAGGCGGCGTGGGTGCGCATGAGTGAGCTCTTGACTTCTCTTAAAAAGGATGATTCCGGTAACCTACCGATGGATGCCGCGCTGGACAAGCTTCAGTATGATCCAAAAATCATGATGCATCTGGCCCCGCTTCCTGGTGCTAAGTGGAAGGGCGATGGAAAAGGCGAAAAGGGCATCAAGCGCGATGCCGATGGCAAGCCGAAGTTGCCCCACCGTCCCAATAAAGGCACTGGCAAAGGAAAGTGTCCTGATGTGTTGTCCGACTCACGCTTGAAGCACAACTGTAGCAAGACCAAGAAGCGCCTGTGTTGGAATTTTAACTTGCAGGCAGGATGTAAGTTTGCGAAGGCGGGTGAGAGCTGCAAACGAGGCTTGCATCTTTGTATGTTCTGCGAGCAGCCTCACTCCCTTCTCCAATGCCCGGCTTACAAAGTCAACGAGTGACGGGAGGCTGCCGCTGTTGAGGCCGATTCTTTTATTGCGGAAGCGATGAGCCCTCCGGTCTCGACCCAAGCGGCAAACCATGCATGCATGTTGGCACAGAGTGACCCTGTTGGCCCATTGGAACGTCCCAAGCCGGCCTCCTCAGTGTCTGATCGAATTTCAAATATTGTGATTGATGAGCGAGTTTTTCCCTTGCCCGCTGAGCGGCGAGTGCATGCCTCTTTGCATCCTGCAGAGCAATTTGCACAAGATGTTCTGTCGTCTGGTGAACCTGTGACAGCAACCTGTGTTGAGCGGCTCTTTAATTTGCTGCCTTCCAAGGAGGATGAGCGATTCAGTTCCGATTCTGGCAGATCCTTTGTCGCGGGTGTTTTCCGGCATGGGGGCGTCGTTGGCCTCACGAACTCCTGCCGTTCTTTTCCCCAATCGGTCAGCCTGGCCATCACTTGGGCCATGCAGCAAGCCGGAACCGAGTTGTCAAATTTCACATTTTGCTCAATTTCTCTGAACCTCAACGTTAAGACTGAAGTTCACCGCGATGTAAATAACGATGATGCCGACAACCTCGTGTTGGCCGTTACCTCTTTCTCAGGTGGCCACATCTGGGTGCAATCCGAATCGGGCAGTCATGCGCTGCCTGTCAATGGGACCCTGATCCCTGGCGTCTTGTATGATGTTGCAGCAGCCCCAGTGCGGTTCTATGCACGAAAGCGCTTGCATTGCACAATGCCTTGGACAGGTGATAGGCTAGTCCTCATCTTGTTTTCGGGCGGAGATGCCACGCAATTGCCCAGCCTTGATTTTGAGCACCTTAAATCCCTTGGGTTTAGGCCTTCGGTCTCCACGTCCACGGCCAACCCGCCGTTGGCGTATGTACCACCGCCTGCCGGAGCTTTTGAGCCCTTGCTTTCTAAGGTTCGTGCTAAAGTCGACGGGGTGTCTCTTGACAATCTCGTGTTTCTTGATGTTTTCTGCGGCACGGGGGGGCTCTGTGCGTCCCTACGGCAGTTAGGCATGAAACTCAGTGTCGGTCTATAGACCGTCACGCGCAGCGCGGTTGCAAATGTCCTGTTGTCTCGTTGGACCTCACGAAGCCGGGCTCTCGGGCCATCCTGCTTGATCTTCTCAAACAGCCACATGTTGTTGCATGCCACTTGTCCCCACCTGTGACCACCAGTTGTGCCAATCTGCCGGGCCCCCGCTCTGGTGTTTTTCGCAATGCAACATACCCTGACGGTCTGCCCGGTTTGCAAGGCACTGATCTCGAGTTAGTCCAGGGGGCCAACACACTAGCTTTTTGCCATGTGTGCTGAGGTCTGGCAATTTTGTTGGAGCCATGGGGTATTTTGCTCCATTGCTCACCCGAGCCGTTCCATCATGTGGCTCTCTGCGTCACTTCGGTCCTGTCAGTCTTCGCCTTTCCTCTCCACCTCTCTGCGCCAGTGCATGTTTGGCTCCTACCGGAGAAAAGCCACTCGCATTTTGCACACGGTCCCCTTCTTGCAAAAGCTTGGTGTGACTTGTGATGGCGGCCATGACCATGAGCCGTGGCGATCCCCCGCACAAAATCGCCTGAAGGATGCCGGCATGCCGCCACTCTTGTGCAAGACTTTTGCCCAGGCACTTGTTGATCAGCTCGTTGCGTGCGGTGCACGCGCTCCGGCGTGCTCTCTTGCAAATGCTTCCTTGTCGCTCTCCATGGGCGCCCGTGTTGCTACAGCGACGCAACCATCGGGTCGCAAGATCCCTCCACTGGTTCCTGAGTTCGCCCGCACAGTCAAGTTGGCAGGTCCAGCCGATCAGCTGCCGTGCACCTCAAAGACCAAGCTGGTCTCGGCGTGGGCGGTTCCCAATACTGTCTTCTGCCAACCTTTCCTTGCAACTTTGCCGCCAGGTTCCAAGTGTCTCCGAGCCAGCCCTGTGGTTCCAGGGGGTCTGGCGCCTGCCTCGGAGCCAGCTAAAGGTACGGTTTTAGGTAGTCCTGAGTCCCCTGCCTCCTCGTGCCTGCCTGCGGTTGCTGAGGGTGTGGTTTTAGGTAGTCCCGACTCCTTAGCTCCCCAATGCCAGCCGGCAACCTCACCCTTAAATGCAGCCAGTGCGACACCAAATGCCAAACCTGAGCTTGAGCTGCTTTTCGGCATACCTTGGTCGCCTTCGGAGTTCGTCAAGCAGGCCTGCAAAGCGAGACACCCGCGCTCCTTGGACCAAGGCGTGCCAGCCGGCATGTCGGCATGTATTGAGCGCTTGTGTGAGCACAGCTCGGTCGATGTGGCGAGGGAACGAACGGCCGAACTTCGCAAGTGGATGCTTAGGAAGAAAGAGCTTGATGAGAGTTTTGATGGACCTGAGCACTGCAAGAAGATCTTAGCTGGAAAGCCTATGAAGCTCTTCGGGGAGATGGTCAAGGCTGCCGGACACGCTGATGTCAACTTGGTACGAGATATACAGAACGGTTTCGACCTGCTTGGCGAGATCCCTTCCTCGTCTGTCCTGCCTAAGAAAACCACGGTGGCTTCTCTCAGTGTCGAGGACGTAAGAATCGCCACCCCGGCGAACCAGCGTGCGATTTGGGAGGCTACCCGTACTTGCAGGGATCCGGAAATCACTTCTGAAGTGTATCGCTTTACCCTGGAGGAGCGGGATAAAGGGTGGCTGACTGGCCCCTTTACTCTCGCCGATGTGCCGGAGACTGCCATCGTTACCCGCCGTTTTGGCGTCAGGCAAGGTCTGACGACGACGGCCACCGGTGTGGCGGCTAAGATCCGTCCCATCGACGACTTCACAGAAAGCTTGGCTAACTTGTCGTGCACATGTGCGGAAACCATCGACCCGCATTCAGTGAACATCATTGTGGCCGGGATCCTGAAGCGGTGCAGGTTGCTACGGAAGTCCGGAAGGGACGCGCGCTTGCTCCTTCGGACAATAGATCTGCGAAAAGCCTATAAGCAACTTCCTTTGTCGGAGCGCGCCTTGGGGGATGCTTATATATGTGTGCTTAACCCGAATACGGGTGAGCCTGAGCTTTACCAAAGCCAGGTGTTACCCTTCGGTGCAAAACCCTCCGTACAAGGCTTCTGTCGTGCATCAGGGGCCCTCTGGGCGGTGGGGCAAGCCGCTTGCCTTGCTCCACATCCACTGGTCCGTGTTCTTCGATGATTATGTGGTGGTGGCCTCGCCTGAGGAAAAGGGTCACCTTGATCTTGTGTTGCGGTCGTACTTTGGCTTGCTCGGCTGGGAAACGTCCGACGAAAAGGACGCCGGGTTCAAAAGTGTGGCAAAAGCCTTAGGCGTAGAATTTATTTAGTATGGATGAGATCCACCTGGGTCTGCTTAGGGTGCAAAACACGGAGGCTAGGAAGCGCGAGCTTGTGTCCACCATCGAGTCAATCGTGCAGCAAGGTGGAGCGCATGCCAGAGAGCTTGAGTGCTTGCGTGGCCGCCTTCAGTTCGCTGAGTCGCAGGTGTTTGGTCGTGGTGCGGCCCAACGCATGCGAGCTATATCAAAAGCAATGAAGCTTTCAGGCTTTGTGGTTCTTGACGACTCCTTGACCGAGGCCCTGCTTTTCTTGAAAGATCGAGTCCTGCACGGGGAAGCAAGGATGATCAGGGCCTGTGATCGCCCCACCTATCACTTGTTCACGGACGCTTCCTATGAAGCGGATATGCCGGCCGGTCTAGGGGGCATCCTTTACAGCGATGGGGGTTTGCTCCTTAGGTGGTACTCCGAGTCTGCCGACACAGACGTTTTAGAGGCCATAAACCAAGAGGGCAAACAAGGTCTGATCTATGAGTTGGAAGCTTGTGCAGCCGTGCAAGGCGTCCTGCAGCTTTGCAACTCCTTGAATGATTGCAACCTCATTTGCTATTGTGATAATGAGGCCGCCCTTGCGGCCCTCATAAAATGTGCTTCTGAATCGCCGGTGGTAGCATCGCAGCTCAACAAGCTCAGCATGCTTGAGGACGAGAAGGGAATCAGCATATGGTTCGAAAGAGTGGAGTCGTCTGCAAACCCTGCCGACGATCCTTCGCGCTTTGTGCTTAGCGAGCTTCCTGTCAACTTCAGAGTCCGTTGGATCCCAGGCGAAGAGCTGTTGTTCTAACGGCATCTGATCTTGAATGGGGAATGGCATCAGTTGCCTTTTTGCTTGCTGGAAGTTTTCACTTGCAGGAGTATGCCGGAAACCTCGTGCAGGACAACTTTCGCTTTTGCCATCTTTGTACATCGGCCACGAATGTGGAGCCAAAACCATCAGTCTGCACCCCTCGCTCTAAAAAGAAATGCAGCGTGCGATGATTCAGTCTGTGAGTGCAGTCAGTGTACATGTTCTTCCGCTGTGTAGTGCGCTTGGCTTGAAAACATAACCAAATAAGGCCCTGTGTCTTCGGCCAAGGCCCTCAACCATACAAGCCAGTTGCTAGCACCTTGAAGCCTGTACCGGTGCCGCTCGTGCCAGTGATTGTCACGCCAGCTCTCAGGACTATTACTTTGAATCAGGCAAGACTTAGGGCCGCGAATGCGGGCCCACCCGAGGATGGGAGAGCGCGCGCTACTCAGCGTTTCAAGGTGCTTATCTTGATCAATCTCCTGGCGACCAGGGCAGGGAAACAGATGACCGACCTTGTCGGTAGGTGCAGTGATGAAGCCAGGGCTCTTCAGATTCTCACGGACACATTAGCACCGAAGTCTACAGGAACGATCACTAAGCGGTCAGGCGCCTTGTGGCGCTACGCTGCCTTCCTAGCGAACAGGCATACTCCGTCGCCTTTTTGTGCAGGGGAAGACGAGTTGTACCAGTACCTGCAGCGGCTACGGGGGGATCAGTGTACCAGTACAGCCAGTTCGTTACTCGAGGCCCTCAGGTTTGCGCATGGCATGTTCGGATTGCTGAAGGTTACCCTTGCGGAGCTCGACTCGCCACGGGTCAAAGGGGCAGCACATTCCATGTTTGTTCAGAAGAAGGTACGCGTGCAAGCCCCGCCCATACCGGTGCCGGTTATCCTCAAATTGCTAGAGCTTGCATCCGACGACGAGCAAGAGGATCACATCTCGCTTATTGCAGGGCAGATTTTGGTCTGCGTTTTCGGGGTTGGTCGGTGGAGCGACTTTCGTGCAGCACATGGGCTTGAGATCGACATACATGAGGGGATCGTTGTTTGGCGCATGTACACGGCAGAGCATAAGACTGCGATCACCAAGGAGGCCAAGACACGCCTCCTTCCATTTGTTGGATTAGGGCACTGGCCTAATTTCGGGAGCTGGATCAGCCGCTTCGACCGGCTCAGGACTTCTCATCAGATTGAGGCAGGACTCCCTTCGTGGGACCAAGCCCGAGGCCAGTGGCACGACTGGCCTATGAGTTCCTCCGAGGCAACGGCGTGGCTGAGGGAATTCGCTGAGCTTGTTGTCTCAGCGGATGAGGCGCAGAAGCTGAGATCACACTCATGCAAACACACGCTGCTTAACTGGGCCGGAGGCTCAGGCTTGTTCACTCGTGAAGAGCGCACATTGTTGGGGCACCACGTGGAATCTTCCACAAAATCTGCAACCACCTACGATGCCAACACCATGCTGGCGTTGCAGGCAAAGGTCCTGCGCATGATCACGGCCATACATCAGGGCGATTACGATCCAGATGCGCCCATGGCCCGGCGCCTTCAGGTGATGGCCGCTGCTGAGGTCACGCACGGATCGGGGTCTAGGGATGTGGCCCCCCTAGAGAGTTCGGAAGCACCACGGAGCTCCTCTTCGGAAGATGACGGTGCGGCTGATCCAGGGGAGGTTCTGGATATCCAAAGAGACCCCTTGCCTGAAGAGGCAGGTGAGCACACATGGTTTCGACATGTGATCAGTAGCATTGTTCATGTAGCTGTTCCGGGTAACGAACAAAGGCTCAAATGCGGCCGCTTGGTTACCTGCAATTTCCAACAAGTTGATCCTAGGAATCTCGATCGTGCGCAGAGTTTCTTCTGTGTCCAGTGCAGCCGCCAGTCGGAGTGAACCAGCCTCGAGTATCGCAACTGTCAAGACTTGTCGCTTGTGTTTTCAATTGCTGCGTGAGCCCGAGAAGCAAGTGCTGCATCCCTTATTCTCAGGCATCCTTTCGGCTTGTCACATTTCTCGTAGGAGTCATGGCACTTGACAGTGAAGCATCTTTCAAGTCACGTTGCGCGGCATGTGGGTTGCCAGAAGTGGCAATCGAGGAAATGCACGCGGGAGGGATCACTACATTTGCCGGATTGGCGTTCTGTACGCCTCACCAGGCTAATGCGGGAATTGACGATGCAGCTCTCATGACGCATGTCAACGGGCTCCTCACCACACCATTGACACCGTCGGGTGTGGCTAGTTTGCGGCGGCTGGCATTTGAGGCACAAGCGCTGGCACTGCAAGATCTCAAGACGAAGCTCGAAAGACCATCAGACACCGACACTAAAGTGCTCCCGCTCCAGGAGAAAGTTGCGCGTCTCGCGCGGCAGCGAGAGCGGCTCAATGGTATTGTACTCACACCGCATAATACCCCTAGCCATGCCCTGGTCGATCGTGCATGTGCACAACTGGAGGAAGGCGTCCTTCAATGGTTGCACCCTAGCAAATGCACATCTAGGCATGCGGAAGCCTTGGCAGAAAAACCCAAGGCGTCATTATCCTTTGACTCACATGGCTCGATCAAAGTCACCAGCGCCTCCCACGAGAAGGATTGCGATACTGGGTCGGCCCATTTGCTTCGAGTTGCCCTTCAGCGGAGGGCCCTCGCCTATGACGTGGCCAACATCATCACCTTTGACGTCATGGAGCGTTGGCACCAGTCCCTCTTTGATCGACTCCACTATGAGCCCCCGCCGAACTACTCGGCACCGGGCTTGGCACAACTTATCGCAGCCGACAAGGCATTGTGGCTCCTGGTTTCCGAGGACACCCGGGCGAAGCTCACCGAGATGGATCCCGACTCGCCCCACAGTCGGATTTGCGACTCCTACATGAACTACTACTCCGACCACCCGGATGTCCTCTTTCACCTCATGCCGCTTCGGGCAGGCGGTTCTAAGGATCACAATCCCACCTCGGACCGACCCCCTCGCCGAGCTCGCGGAGGAGGTCGACGGCAAAACACTCGTCCTGTGCAACAAGACCACGCCAAGACTAAGGCGACTGACTCCAAGCCGGCATACACTCCCATTGTCGTGCCGTCGGGATGCACCATTGTGTACAATGGGGGTAAACCTATTTGTAAAAAATTTAACGTGGGTCGCTGCAAAGTGAAAACCGCGAAAGGAGGTCGTTGTTCGAACGGCTTCCACGTGTGCTGGAAAGAAGGATGTCACCGTCCCTTCGCATTCAAGGATTGCCGTCACTCCGAGTGACTATCCACGGGTGACCTGGTCACCCAGAATGAAACCAGTATGCAGGCAGAGCAGTTCGCTGGCCATCTGCTTTCTGCTCAGGACTTTTCCAGTGCCAGCCTTCGCAAGCTCTTTGATCTCTTGCCGCTTGAACCGCCGGCTAGGGGCGTCGGAGTCGGGCTTTCAGGTTCCTTCACCACCGGTGCCTACGTCTACTCCAACGAGGTTGGCCTTCGTCGGAATTTGACTGGGTTCCCCTTGACTTCTTCGCTCTTGGCTGCACACGTACGGCGCATTTCTCCATCCTTCCCTTTTACTACGGTGGCTCTTTTCCACAATCTTAAAACACCATGCCACCAGGACAACAACAATTTTCCCGGATCCTTCAACCTCGTGGTGCCGTTGACCAAATTTCAGCACGGTGAGATTTGGTGCGAAGACCCTTCGGGCACTGTTCCTCAGGACTTTCAAGGCGATCCACGTCATGGTGTGCTTTTGGATGTGGCCTCTGGTCCCGTCCTTCTACCGGCTGCCTCCTGTCTGCATGCCACGTGTGATTGGACTGGTGATCGCTTGGTGTTGGTGGCTTTCTCCGTTGGTCCAGCTTTGCAACTCCCACCTGACTATGCTCGAGCCTTGAACGCGTCCGGCTTCACTCTGGCCCAATCACCCGACGACTTGACCTCGCCTGTGCCTCTTCGTCCTCTGTCATCGACTTCCGTTCGTCCTCTCATGGTGGAGATTTGTTCTGGGTCTGGTGTGATGGCTGCCGCATTTCGTGATCTGGGCTTCCTTACGCTGGCCATCGACAAGCCTGGTAACCCTCATCGTCTTCGTCATTCCTATGTTCCTTTGGATCTCTCCCGCCAGGATCAGCAACAGCTTCTCTTCTCGGCGCTGGATGACGCTGCTCTTATTGGGGTGCTTCACTTGGGGGTGCCATGCGGCACGTGCAGCAGGGCGCGTGAGCGCGCTCTTCCTCGTCGTCTTCAAGGTCGCTTTAGAGCTCCACCTCCACTTCGTGATGCGCGGCACCCATTGGGCAAACCTGGACTTCGTGGACTTGACCGAGACCGTGTTCAAACCGCCAACGAGATCTACAAGCTCACCATTCGCCTCGTGCTGTGGGCCTTCCATCATGATGTTCCGGTGGTCATTGAGAACCCTTCGCGCAGCTGGCTCTGGCCAGCTCTTGAGGCGCTAGTACGCCTCATGTCCAAGGACCTTGGCCCTGATCTACGGCGCGCTTGGCAGGCAATTTGCTTCTACGACCTCGACGCCTGCCAATTTGGGGGGAAACGAAAGAAGCGAACTCGCCTCGCATCTACAGTTGACCTCTCCACCTTGGCTCAGGATTGCGATGGCTCTCACCCGCACGCTCCTTGGTCGATTCGAGAAGGGTCCGATCGCCTACTCTTTGACACCGCAGAGGAGGCCCAGTACCCAGACGGCTTGTGTCGAGCCATGGCCCAGGTGTTCGACACGCGGCTTCGGAACATGGGACTCTCTTCTTGGACCCCACCCTCCCACCCCCCCTTCGGGGCCGGTGCCGCTACGGGTTCAACACCTCTGATTCCCCAGTTTCGCGAGGTGCTCTGGGCCTCCGCCCTCCCCGAGGGCGACCAGTACAAGTTGCTGGCCTTTGGTCACGGGGGAGAATCACAAGGCCTAGACAAGGACAAAGTGGATCAGATCAGGTACGGGGTCAGATGGACCCCAGCGGAGTTTCTCCAACAGGCCAAAAACACAGAGCACCCCATGAATCCGGAGAGGTCTCTGAGTGGTCTGCTCAGGGAGACGCTGTTCCACAACCTCACGATGGACCCCTTGGTCCTGGCTAAGTCCAGAATTCAGGCAATCATCACGATCAAGCAGATGGCGCAGGAGCTTGAGGAGAAGGAGGCCAAGTTCAAGTCAACGCTTGACCCTATGGTCGCCAAGGTCCTCAAGCCGAAGAGGCTCCTGCTGTGGAAGGCTCTTCTTCTGGCCGCGGACTACGACGACCTGGACATTGTTGACCTCGTCGCCAAGGGCATCCCGCTGACAGGGTCGCATGGAGCAGTCCCAGCGCTGCCCGAGAAGCTGGTCCCGGCAACAGACACTCACGAATCGCTTCTAGCTTCTTCGATCCTGAGGAGGAAAGCAATCATCTCCAGAAAGAGTGACACGCCGGAAAGCGAGCAGGCTGATCTCAAACAGGCATCTGACCTAGAGGTGCAGAGGGGAGAGGTCGAGGGCCCCTTCTCTGAGAAGGAGATCACAGATCATTTTGGGTCGGAAAACTGGCTCCTGAATCCCAGATTCGCACTGTACCAAGGGTCTCACATGAAGCTTCGTGTGATCGATGACGCTAAGCAATCCGGATTGAATGCCGCCTTCCAGCGCACTTGTGAGGCGTCTCTGATGGATTTGGACGCTCTAACTTGTGTCCTGGCGACCATTGCGAAGGCCATGGGCGAGGGATCGTACCAAGGATCGGAGGTGCATCCCAGCGTCTTAGCCGGGGATTGGCTGGGCCGCACCCTAGATCTTACTCGTGCCTACAAGCAGTTGGCGATCGATGCTGAGAGTCGTAGAGTCTGTGTGCTAGGCTTCAAGAACGGGGACGACTGGATCTATTACAGATGCCATGTCCTTCCCTTCGGGGCAAGGGCGTCAGTTTTCTCCTTCTTGAGAGTCTCTAGATCGCTCCACTTTCTGATGGCAAAGTACTTGACGGCATTGAACACGGTTTTCTTCGATGATTATACGATGCTGACTACAAGCCTCGGGGCCCCCATCCTGCTCAGCTCGGCTTCTTGCTTGTTGAGTCTACTAGGTTGGGCCCACGCGCAGGAGGGTGAGAAGGCACCAGGGTTCGCATCCACCTTCGTTGCTCTCGGAGTGCAGATCTCTTTGCAGGACATAGGCCGAGGAACGTTCACTGTTCAGAACAAACCGGGCAGGGTTGACAAGCTGGTCGCTATGATTGAGGAAGCGGCTACGAACCCAAGGTCCGGCTTCTTCTACAACAAGGGCCTCAGGTTCCTCGCGAAGGCCCTCAACAAAGCCGCGGACAATCCTGGTTCGCAGATGTTTCGCGGGCTCTGTAGGGTAGCCGTTTCACTTTTGAGGGCGACTCCCCCCAGGACCTTCGACATGGGCATTCAGGGCCCCCCACTCCTCGTATTCACGGACGGGGCGTGGGAATCGGGGCGGGCTGGGGCGGGGGCGGTAGTGCACTGCTGTGCCACTGGTAAGACCCTCGCTTGTACCATCCCTGTGCCTCAAACCCTGATCGATTTGTGGGTCAGGGAGGCCGGCGAGCAGATCATCTGCCAAATCGAGATGTGGGCATTCTTGGCTCTTAGGGTAGCGATGAAACAGAATTTCCAGTCCACTCCTGTCATCTCCTGGATCGATAATGAGGCGGCGCGATTCGCGCTAATGAAGGGGACTGCAGATTCTGCTACGCTCAGGAGCATGGCTAGAGTTAGCCAGCACTTTGAGCTTCAGAGTGCATCGCTGATTTGGTTCGAGAGAGTGGCGTCTTTTTCCAACCCATCTGATATGCCGTCCAGGGGACACCTCGCTCAGGCTTGCAAGGACTGCGGGGCCGAGGCCTTTGAGCTTCCCGATGTTTCGCATCTAACGGCGATGCTTCTCAGGCTCTCCAGAGAGCCGTGGGCTGAGCTCTGATCGCGCTACCAAACGGGGGCAACTCACAGCGCGATTCCAGCCACCTGAGTCGAAACATTGGGCGTCCCTTGTTGGCATACATTTGGATTGGACAGAATTTTTCATAAAAAATATCGGAGGTACGTCTCCGCACAATATTATGCAAGAAAGCGTTATACCAATAGCTTTTACATTGAGCGAGATACCACCCTTGATAAAACGATAGCGTGCATTTTTATGCTGGCTTTGTCTTTAAAGGGGGGGTAGTCCAGCTGCCTGGGCTGGACGTATCGATGCTCAATCTGGGCTGGTGACTCCAGTTGATAATGCTCTCTTGCTGCAACACGATTTTAAGCCGGCGATTTGATTCTGAGAGTTTTTCTTTCCCATGCATGACCTGGTTTTTCACAGTACCAAATCCTTGAGAAACCTTGGGAGTGCAGTTTATCGTGTTGCAACCCGCGCTCGCCCATCAAGGTAGTCGCACTGGCGGGAGCATGATCTGGAAAACATGCTTATGTTCAAAACAGGACGAACACAAATTTTTCACCCACCCACCACGCCCTCCAGCTTTTCCGATCTCCCCTCCGGGGAGGGGCCCGACGTCGTCGGGAGTAGCGTTCGTTGCACGGTTCGGGGCCTACCCCCGGCCGTTGCAACTCACAGCGCGATTCCAGCCACCTGAGTCGAAACATTGGGCGTCCCTTGTTGGCATACATTTGGATTGGACAGAATTTTTCATAAAAAATATCGGAGGTACGTCTCCGCACAATATTATGCAAGAAAGCGTTATACCAATAGCTTTTACATTGAGCGAGATACCACCCTTGATAAGACCCCTAGATCCTTATCGATGCCTGAAAGGAACCCTAGATCCTCATAGATGATTCAAAGGAACCCTGAACCCGAAACCTCACACTGAGATCCGAAGCTGGCTTTCCTGAAGCCAAGGTTTGTGAACTCCACGGTCACTTTCCGTTTTGAGATGCGCTTCCTGGCTTCGGCATAGGGTTAAAGGGCTCCGAGATCAGAACATAGGGTCCAGGTACAAATTCATACATACATACATACATACATACATACATAAATGCGTACATTTTGTATACACAAAGCTTTTAATGTCTAAGGCTTTGGGATTGAGGGCTGTGTGTTCAGAGTTCATGCATGCATGTATACATAAGACAAAAGCCTGGCGAATTAGTGCTCCAAGTTCGAGTCCATACTACGGTTGATCATATAAATCCAGCAGTGCCCAGAATAAGGAGTATACCATAATTCCCATAGTTTAGGGCCCTTAAGGTAATGCAGGATTTATATCATCAACAGTAGCTCGCTTCCGAGAGTCCGAAGCAGTATGGTTTGGGCTCTTTGTGGGAGTTGATGCTTTGGATGGCTGAGACTCACGATCGGGCTTGATGGGAGCCCCAGCAGCTCTGAAACCCCGTGAGCAGTATCTTTTTTCATGAAAGATGGTTAAACCCTAAGCCCTTTATCGTTTAGGGTGGTTTAGGGGCTTAAGGGGTTAGGGTTGAGGGTGTAGCAGTGTAGCATCAACAACTCACTACCATGACTCGCAGAATTGTGTCAGGCACCGTTATCACGAATCGCCATGGTGGCCGTCTTTGATTCTATCCCAGGTTTCATCAACCCCCTAAACCTTAAACCCTATTCGATTCTATCCCAGGTTTCATCAACCCGTAAAGACCCTAAACCCCGCGCTTCAAACCCTATTCGATTCTACTTAAAGGATCATGGGACTTAGCAACTAGGGTTACAATAAGGGTAACTCTACTTATAACTACTTATAACCCCAATTAAGGTACTTATAACCTCACTTACTAAGTCCCATGATCCTCCAAGTATCCCAGGTTTCATCAACCCACGCAGACCGCCATTGAATTTCGAGAACAACTGGATCATGCTTCACAGCCCCTCGGCCCGACCAGCTTCTTCCCCCCGTAGGATTCCCAGGCTAAGGGTTTATCATAAAGACCCTCAGGGGGTAGGGGGAGGGGGGTGGTGGGGGCCGTATTACGTATCTATAATAACGACTTCATAAGGCCTATTTAAGGAAGTATAGTCCCCTAACCACCTCCCCCCTACCCCCCGTAAGGGTCCGTATGAGTTTAGGGTTTAGGCCTGAACCCCAGACCCCACAAAACCCAAAGCCCTAACCCAAACCCTGAACCCTAAACCCCACACCCTAACCCTCATTTGCTCAATTTCTTGGGAATCACTGCCAGGGTCGCTTGCTACCCTTTGGCGAGCAGGTTGGGGTACGGAGGTTGGGGTATGGGGTTTTACAATCACTAAACTTCACTTGCGAAGGTTAAACCTAGGGATGTACTACATGTTAGTACTGCAGGTTAGTGCCGGGCACAGCATTTCTACAGACTCGAGCTTATAGCTGGGTGAGAAGCCTTACTGTTTAACAAGGAGTTCGCACATCGTCTGAAGCCCTAAACCCTAATGTCCCATCACCATTGCGATTACTGTTGCTGGCTCTACCAGAAGCAGTCAGAAGCTCAAACGCCAAAAGTCCAGCCTAGGCCTTCTAAACCCCAATCACGGGGGTTACTTTAAGTTTCATTTGATTTGGGTCGTGCAGGCCCTTGGCCCCGGGCAAAGCAGTGCGCTGCCCTTACATATAATATGTATAGCCTACAATCTATCATAGGTCATGAAATACATATATACATAGACCCAAAGAAAATGTCTGTCTGTCTGCCTGCCTGCCTGTCTGTATGCTGTATGCATGTTTGCATATATGCATGTATGCATGTAGGTATGCATGCATGCATGTGTGCATGTAGGTATTCATGTATTCATGTATGCATGTATGTATGATGCAGGGCTGCCACACCCGCTCCCCCCCCCAACACCCCATGGTATCCTCCCCCCTTCCCCCCCGCCCCCCCTTGTGGTGTGGGGCCTGAGGTGGTACTCCTTTTGCCGCGACGTTCTTATGTGTTGTTCCTTGTCTTCCCTCTTGCTGTGGTACCGGTGATACTGCTCATGATGTTGTGCTGCTCTAGACCGGGACATGAGTCGACAATCAGGCCATGCTCAACATCATCCTTGTCGTCAAAAGACCATCTGCCACCATCACCACCGCCATACAACCCTCATAATGCAGCATTGCAATTCATGTCAGATGCTGGAAACTACTGTGCCGATTGCCGCTTTCCGCACACGGCGATCCGCACACCAGGTGAAGGGGCGGGGCGGGCGGGCAGGAGCATTGTGCTGCTACTTTTTATGTGCATGCACATAAAAAGTAGCAGCACAATGTCCAGGCAGCAGGGTGGGGGGGTGTGGCGGCCCGGGACCCGAGAGCATGTATGCGTGCATGGGTGTATGTGTATGTGGTAGGTGTGCATGTGTGTAGGTATGTACGCATGCATGCATGCATGTATGTATGTATGTATGTATGTTTGTACGTATGCATGCGTGCATGCGTGTATAATGTGTGTAGTGTTTGTGTGTGTATGTATGTATGTGTGTATGCGTGTGTATGGCGTATGTATGCATGGTTGCATGTATGCATGTATGCATGTATCTACGTGTGTACATGTGTATGTGTGTATTTGTGTATGTGTGTATGCAAGTGTGTATGTACGTATGTATCTATGTGGGACTGTATGTGTGTATATATATATATATATATATATATTTATTTATACACATGCATATATATATATATATATATATATACTGTACTGTATATATATGTATATCTATGTATATATGTGTATATATATATATATATATATTCGTGTATATTTATATATATACACACATGTTCGTGTGTGTGTGTGTGTGTGTGTGTTTGTTTTTGTATACCGTCAAACGCCGGCACTGGGCATAGGCCCTTAGTGTATAAGGGCCTGAGACTAGTTCCGCACCCTTGACTCTACGGTTCAGGGTTTCCCGAGACCCTAAAACCAGAGACGGTTTGCAAAGTTCCTTCGCTGCAGGTCGTCCCAAAGATCCCACTACCTCGGGGTCTACAGACAATGAGGACGCCGTGTTTGACGTAAATCTGGGTGTTCTAGCAAGCAATAGTCCATGTATTTTGGGACTTTGGGTGTGAAGGGCTTTTGGAAACCTCTGTTGGTGCACCGCAACGCAAGCTCTCCCGGCACACACAGTTAGCCCGTATGCACAAGCATGAAATTCCAGCCCTCTCCGCCTCATGTAGATGCTGAAGCCACGGTTCGAACCCAAACTTCAACGAATACTGATATCCAAAAAGCACAAGGACATCCTGTCGTCAGATGCAGTTCAAAGCTGGAGCGCCGGGGCCCCTGTTTAGGATGCGGAGATTTGCAGGGTCAAGCCGGTTGGGGGGTAAGGTTGTAGTATCAGTCTGACCCTAAACCCGAAAGCCCCTTAACACTCAAGCCCGCAAGGAGCTCCCCAACTCCGCCCCCGCCTTCACTTCATAAAAGAAACCGGAGGCGTATTTATTTTGGTATATTTTTTTTTTTTTTTTTGCATTTTTTTTTTGGCTTGTGTGCGCGCTTGGCTTGGCTTCTCGGCTTCCCTGGCTTCTTGGCTTCTGGCTTCTTGGCTTTTCGGCTTCTTGGCTTTTTTCTTCGGCATAGAGAGCCTCATAAATCAGTCCTTAAGTCACGCCCTCAACCCTAAGCCGAGCCGAGGCGAATTTAGGTCAGTAAAGCGGGATAGGGGTTAAAAAAAATTAAATAAGGATCAAAAAAAATAAATAAGGATCAAAAAAAATTAAGGATAAAAACAATTAAACGGGTATCCGCGAAAGGAAGGGGAAAAAGGAACGAAAGACAGAGAGAGAGAGAGAGAAGGAAAGAAAGAAAGAACGAAAGAAAGAAAGGAAGAAAGAAAGCAAGGAAGAAAGAAAGCAAGGAAGAAAGAAAGAAAGAACGAAAGAAAGAACGAAATAAAGAAATAAAGAAACAACGAAAGAAAGAAAGAACAGAAAGAAAGAAAGAAACAACGAAAGAAAGAAAGAAAGCCATGCAAGAAACAGAGAAATAAGTAAA